AGGATTGACTATGACAAAGACCATTTAAGACAGAAAACAAAGTGCTTTCTTATTAAATATCAAAGTTACTTCTAGTGGGCAGCATTGTTTATGAAGCAAGTAGTCCTTGAAGGAAGGTCCTTTGGGTTTATCCTTGAGGGTAGGTAGATTTTAGAAGGTAGAAATGTTAATTGAGGTTATTATTCCAGCAGAGGTACTATAATGAAAAAGGTATAGAATCAGAGTTAATTTGGCCCACAAGAAGTAGTGGAAAGGAGAACAGAGAGAAATGAACTAGGAAAGGTAGATTAAAGCTAGAATTTGAAGACCTTTAAACTAAAGGCTTTATTTAGACAGGCATTGGGGAGTTTTGAAGCATGTTATACTACAAAATGATATAATCAGAGCTGTACTTCTATTGGGGCATGGAGGCTACTTAGGAGGTTACTTCCATGATTGAGGTGGGAAACCAGGAAGGTCTGAACCAAACAAGTGACAGTGAGGAGAAAGAAGAGTTGTGGAGACAGACTCCACAAGGATGCAAAGTGACAGTCACTTTCTGGGGCCCGACTGACTTGGAAAATGAAAACTGAATGGATAAAAGAAAGTGTTGAGTTATTTTGGGTGTAGTGAATTCCTCGAGCATTGGGAAATGTCAAGAGTTCAGCAGTGGTATTTGCCACAAGTAGACTGTGCTGTTGCTTTTTATCGATCTATAGATATAACCTCAGTTTGTTTCTAAAAATTGTTTTATTTTGAAAACTTTTCAAACTTGAAAAATAAAAAACAACCCTACAAAGGCTGTTTTACTGTTTCAAATAATTCAAATCAGCGCTTGATACAAAGATGCAGTTAGCAAGAAAGCCTTTTAGGCTTCTTACTTTTTTCCTCAGTACATTTACTCCCAACATCTGTACTACCCATGCTGCCCAGTACAGGGTCCATCAGCCACATGTAGCTGTTGAGCACTTAACAATGCAGCCAGTCTACATTGAAATGTGCTATAATTACAAAAATAGATCCCAGATTTCAAAGACTTGGTATGAAATAAAGAATGTAAAATATCTCATTAATAATGTTTTATATTGATTACATGTTAAAATGATACCATTTTGGATATTGTTTCAGGGCTCCCCAACACCATCCACATGATAGGTGATTTGCTAGGACCAACATACATTCGTCCTAACAGCTAAGATTATTACAGTGAAAGGATCAGTAAGGGAAAAAGATTGTCTGAATCTGGAGAAGTCCTTTCACAGGCTTCATTATGCTCTCTCCTTCCCAAGTGGGGCACACTGAGTATGTTCATTTCTCCAGCAACCAGAAAATGCAGTAATATGTAAAATGTTTCTGCCCAGAAAAGCCCATTTAGAGATTCAGCACCCAAGGTTTTATATTGGGGGCTGTTCACATCGGCACTGTCTGCCTTGCATATACCGAAATTCTAGATTCACAGAAGGAAAGCAAGTATTTGGCATAGATGACATTGTTAACACAAACTCTAGGCACCGTGAACCACCTTATCAGTCAGGTAATAGAGGAAAGCCAAGTTCCCAGATGCCAGCTAAGGGCCAGCCTTGCACACGGACCCTTCTAAAGGTAGCAGCCTTGGTCCTGCTGCATTAACTTTTTGCACAGATATATTAGGTTAAGTAAACTATCAGCAGAATTAATTCCACCAGTTTATTTTTAAAGACTTTTAAATATGGCTACTTGTTCACATTCTTAACTCACATTATATTTATTTTGGCAGTGGTCTAAACTTATATGTAAAATTCTTCTCTAACGTGTTTTAGCTGTTTTCTCTATAAACACTAATGATTTCTCTTTAATACAAATCTGATAAGTAAACAGGTGACAAGCCTCCTTCAAGTGATATCTTTACACTAGTCACTAAAGGTCAGACTAATTGAAGGCTGCAGTAGACTTAGCTCCATATCCTAAATGTAGCTTTTATTACCCAAGAAGAAAAAGAAAACCTCCCCTCCAAAAAAAGTGTGTGATCAAAATAAAGGATTTTGTGAATTTTTATAAAACAAAAGTCCCAGTTTAAGAATGTCCATTTGATAAGCACATTTGAGAGCTCCAAACAGTACATTTTTACATGCTTATCATTAATTCAAATTGTTAAACTCTTTTGTTCTCTAAAATGTTAATGATTTGTAATTATTATTAATCCATCCATGAAAATATTTCTGAGGAGGTTTATATAAATGGACTAATTCTGCATGAGAGATTCACTTCATTTCTACTCATTGTAGATTGCAGATGTGACTAAAATAGTATAACTTGGCTAAAATGAATGATATAGAATAGCAACCAGGATATGTTTGACTTCTTCCCAAGCACTGAATACTAATATATACCTCACTCTTTAAGAAAGGGAATGGTTTTAGGAAAGTAATTTCCAGGACTAGAACTGTGAAAGCAGCAGAAGATATTTTTGTTAGAATAAATCCATAGTGTGATTTTCAGTGACTTACTGCCCTACGGGTCCCCTGCAGACCTAATTGAAGGAGAGAACCATCTTTCACCATCATTGACACATCTCATCAGAAGTAGAGGGAAGCTAAAATCCTAACCCCCTCTTCTCTCCCACACCATGACCCATAGTGAGTAAAGGGGAAAGGAGAAAGTCCTCAGGCTTTAAGTAGAGAGTAGTTCATAACAGCAGTATTTTTGCTGTTATCTTTGTCCCTTATTTATAAAGACTTATAATTCAGCCATTTTATATAGTTTTGAATTGAAGCATGTCATTAGCAACCCATGTCAATAACTCATACATTGATTCTCATTATAAACAGCTATGCTTGTCCTTTGAAAATCCATAAAGCTTAATACATTTGTAATTTTAAATATACTTCACATTTCTACAAAACGAAATCTGACAATATCAGTGCTGCTCTCTAATTGCTTTAAATAATGTGGAGAACAGTTATAAAGAACTCTATGGGGGCTTCCCTGGTGGCGCAGTGGTTGAGAGTCCGCCTGCCGATGCAGGGGACACGGGTTCGTGCCCCTGTCCGGGAAGATCCCACATGCCGCAGAGCAGCTGGGCGCGTGAGCCATGGCCGCTGAGCCTGCGCATCCGGAGCCTGTGCTCTGCAACGGGAGAGGCCACAACAGTGAGAGGCCCGCGTACCGGAAAAAAAAAAAAAAAACTCTATGATAAAAAACTAAGGGTATTTTCCACTCACTGTTCAATCAATAAGAAACACTGCAGAAAACCTGTCTTTTTTGCCACTTTTGGAACTATGAAGAGCCATCAAAGTACTGTCATATAATGTTCTGTTGATAAACGTTAAGAGCTGATGATAGTTTCACTCAGAAAATCAGAATACCTAGAAGCCACAGTGCTGTTTATAACTTCACTCACCCTGTCTTGAAAATAGCTTCTCTTCCCTGTATCCCCATTTGTGAACTGGATAAAATAGGTAAAATAAGAATTCAGCATGTAATATGATATAGTATATAATAGAATTATGGTATGATATATAAACAAAAAACAAAACTCCAGTTTTTAGAAATGAGGAATTCAAAAATGTTATATGTTCTCTAGGACACTTGTTCTATTTTAAAGTACACACATTTGTGTAATATGATTTTGTGATATATATGACACAACAGAAGTGGGTACACTAGCTAATTTTGTACTTGAATAAAATATCACCATACGTCTTCCTTGGCTTTTCTATCCTTAATCTAACAGCTTATGTTATGTAACTAATACTTATTGTCCTTATGATGAGCTTTGAGACCATTAAGGTTTTTTTAAGAATTATATCAAATATGAAATTCAATGGCATATATTCCATATATCTTTACTGTTTAAAACATTTTTTTTGAAATTCCGAAGAGTGTTTTTTTTCCTTTTTGTCTGTGGTAATCCATTCATCCATCAACAGACATTTGGGTTGCTTTAACCTTTTGGCTCTTGTGTATAATGCTGCTATGAACAGCAAGTATCTGTTCGAGTCTCTGCCTTCAATTCTTAAGAGTATATACCTAGAAGGAGAATTGCTGGAGCTTATGGTAACCTATATGAATTTTTGAGGAACTGCTATACTATTTACCACAGCAGCTGCACCATTTTACATTTCTACCAGCAATGCACAAGGGTTCAGTGTCTCCACGTCTTTGCTAACATTTTCTTTTAACATTTTGAAAAAATGTACCAGGCTATGGCGCAGTGGTTGAGAATCCACCTGCCAGTACAGGGGACATGGGTTCGAGCCCTGGTCTGGGAAGATCCCACATGCCATGGAGCAACTAAGCCCGTGCGCCACAACTACTGAGCCTGCGCTCTATAGCCCGCAAGCCACAACTACTGAGCCCACATGCCGCAGCTACTGAAGCCTGAGCGCCTAGAGCTCGTGCTCCACAAGAGAAGCCACCAAAATGAGAAGCCCGCACACCGCAAAGAAGAGTAGCCCCCGCTCGCCACAGCTAGATAAAGCCCATGCACAGCAACAAAGACCCAACACAGCCAAAAAAAAAAATATATATATATATACCGGGCTATATACTAGTTTCATAAGAACCATGGGAAATACAGTTGACCCCTGAGTAACAGAGGTTTGAACTGTGCAAGTCCACTTATACATGGATTTTTTTCAGTAGCAAATACTACAGTACTACATGATCTATGGTTGGTTGAATCCACAGATGAGGAACTGGATATGGAGAGGCCTACTATGGGACATGAGCATCTGCACGTTTTGGTGTCTGCAGCGGGTCCTGGAACCAATCCCCCTCAGATACCAAGGGATAACCGTATATTCATATTGTCATTACACTAAAAACAGTCTTTTGGTGCCAAAACTAAGTTCAGGTTTACATGAGTCAGCAACAGAGAATATTGGCCTTTGTCTTATTGTTTGTGTAGTACAGAGTGTGTTCACAAAAAAGCCTTTGAGGTAAGATGTTGACTTTATAAGAGTAAATGTAAAATAAATCAGGATGAGTTGTAATCTGTATGCTTTCAGTTCTTAGCAACAAAGTTTCCTTTTTTCCTACAGCTCCCTGCACAGGCAGCACTTTCTTTTGCCATAGCAACATGTGCATCAATAATTCTTTAGTCTGTAATGGGGTTCAAAACTGTGCATACCCTTGGGATGAAAATCATTGTAAAGGTGAGTCTATTGGCAAAGGCCAGCCTTTTTGAGAGAGGAGTGTCCATTGCCTTTCATTAAGAAAAAATTAAAATGTCTTTTTCTACAACTGTGCTTGGCATAACTGCTTTGGCTGGAATAAACACATATAAAATAAATGTTCTCCTTAATGGATCATAGACTTCTGGGATGTGGTAAAAGTGAAGAAAAATATTTATTCTCACCAAAAGCATTTTTTTTATAGACTATGTTTTTTACCTTAAAGTTGTTCAAAAGTCAATCATGGTATTTCCTGCCCTTATTTTCTTGGTCATTTCTATTGTAAAGATACCTTATTCTCATAATAATTTAGATTGTAACCTAGAGTATTCTTATTTTTTAAATTAAATGAAAATACTATTTAATAAAAATCAACTGATGGATTCAGTCTTACAATGTAAAAACAGAATCATTATAAGGACTGCTTTTTTTATTCCATGAATTTCCTACACTATATTTCCAGTATATACTCCCTGGAAGATAAATATGGCTTGTGGTAATACTAGTTGAATGTCTACAAACTGGTTATCAAATCACTGTTTCAGTACTAAAGTTTATCTCCCTTTTATTCTCCCAAGAGTTCAATAAATATCTTACTATGGAAAGTTAATGTAATCTGATATGGGTATCTGAAGTACTTGAGAGAAAGTATTTTCAGGTAATCATTCAAAAACAGTAGACCATGATAACATACCTGAGTGGGTTAGTCAGATCATTCTCTTGCTTATGGCCATCAGTAGAAATACTATGGGTATATCAAAACTACCATAGAACAGAAAGCTAAACTTGATAGAACAAGGGTATTTTGTTTTGGTGTTTTCTGTATTCATGTATTACTTTGATCTGCAAGCTATGTATTCACGTACCTTCTGAGTAAAGAACCAAGTCCTTTTCCTTTTTCGTAGTCTGTGTAGCTGCGTTATGATTGGTTAGTTTAACCAGAAGTCGTAATGGGATTATTTTGTTTTAAAACCTAATTTTAAATTGCATTTTCTGTGTTGTATTTGAAAAAAAATACAGAAGTGTTCTGCTTTACTTAAAAATACTTTACCAATTTGTGACAGGACTCATGAACAAATTTTAAAAGCCTCATCGTTTTTCTTTCTCTTTTCTGCAGAAAAGAAAAAAGCAGGACTGTTTGAACAAATCACTAAAACTCACGGAACAATTATTGGCATTACGTCAGGGATTGTCTTGGTCCTTCTCATTATTTCTATTTTAGTACAAGTGAAACAGCCTCGAAAAAAGGTCATGGCTTGCAAAACTGCTTTTAATAAAACTGGATTCCAAGAAGTGTTTGATCCTCCTCATTATGAACTGTTTTCACTGAGAGACAAGGAGATGTCTGCGGACCTGGCCGACCTGTCGGAGGAACTGGACAGCTACCAGAAGGCGCGGTGCTCCTCCACGGCGTCGCGGTGCATCCACGACCATCACTGTGGATCGCAGGCACCCAGCATCAAACAAAGCAGGACCAACCTCAGTTCCATGGAACTTCCCTTCCGAAATGATTTTGCACAACCGCAGCCAATGAAAACATTTAATAGCACCTTCAAAAAGAGTAGCTACACTTTCAAGCAGGCACACGAGTGCCCTGAACAGGCCCTAGAAGACAGAGTAATGGAAGAGATTCCCTGTGAAATTTATGTCAGAGGGCGGGAAGATTCTGCACAAGCATCCATATCCATCGATTTTTAATCTTCTACTGAAGGTGACATTAATTATTAAGTATGTACGTATGTAGCCTACAGAGCACCCATACTGTTTTCAGCAGCCACCCCTTTTCTCCTGTCAGAGCCAGGAAGATCTTCATTTCCCATTAACCTAATGTAATGGTGAAGTTTTTATTATCTCAGGCAGTCTATATATGTTAACCCAACCTGGGAACTTATTCCATTCAGTAAAAAACAAAAAATAAGCCTCTATTGCTCAGTGTCCTACAAACAAAGCACCAGTTACATAGTAGCATTTGGAGAGATGAGGGGTGGTGTTGCGCCAGGCTCAGCTGCCTGCGGGTCTTAGCAGCAGGAAGACCGCTCCTGATTGATACAGCTCTGTCAATGTTTTGATCCCACAATAAGTTTAAAAGTAAGATTTTTCTTCACATTCCTTTTATTTTTTTCTTTTCTCTAAATTTAATTTGTTTTATAAGCCAGTAATTTTACCCTTTCAGTTTCTTATATAAGTGGTTCATGTATCACACGTATTTCAATATAGGCATTTGTTCTAGAATTTGTCAAAATATAACTAGTTACTGTGATAAGTGCCAATTAAGACACAGAGTTGTGTTTTGTCCATCTTTCTTCTTGACTAGTTTCTATACTGCTGCCTTTTAATTACTGGATCCTTAGTCTTTATTTTCTGTGATATGATTTAGCACCTTTAAGTCATATTTTGTCTTAGTTATACGAAAAAGTTTCATAATCCTGGGATGTATGCACCATTGCCAGTTATACCTAAAAACTTGACAAAGATTAAAATTTTTAGAAATGCTTTGAAATTTCCCAAGTTTTATTACATTCAGTGATAGCACATTCATTCCTGTGAGCAAAAAGTCATTTAATGCATTTGGGGGGAGGCCTATCATTATATTTATTTCCAGTGTTTCTCATTACTAGATCTGTGTTTTGTATTATTTTTATAAAAAGATTATTTCACTCCCTTTGTATTGGTTTATCTTGTAGGATATGGTAACCAAGGTTGTTTGAGAGTTAAAGGAAAATGCCTAAGAAACTGTATAAGCCTTTAGATTGCTTCTTACTTGGGACAGTACGTTTTTCTAGTTCTTACCAAGAATAACAATTTCCACTTTTTTTTAAACTGCACTTTTGACCTTATTTTTTTTTAATGGTATATAAACAATAATTTATAAACATGATATAAAAACTCATTGTGTTTTTTTAGACTTTTGATATTATTTGATACTGTACAAACTTTATTAAATCAAGATTAAAGAGCTACATGACAGATTTCTTTCAATGTTTGCGTTAGTGACTTTGTATACAAATATGCTGTGATGGAACTGTACACTATAATTTATTGTAAAGACCTTGGTAATGTGTACATAAGCATTTGTTTCCTCTTGTTATTGCATTTAGTTTATGATAAATTTTTCACTGTGTGATATTTATTGTTCTAAATCACCACACAAATCTGATATTAAAATATACATTGTTACATGATTCTTCAATCATGTTATTTATGGCACTGAGATTTTCGATCTTAAGATATATATAGAAAGGAATCCATTTATTGAATTATAACTAAAAGATAAATTCTCATTTTTGATATTTTTTGTAGTTAAATTCTCAATGAAATGAGAAATTAAAGTTTCACTGGATTTCACTGATTTTTTTAAAGTATCACATCTGTATGTTTTCTCAGATTAATGAAAACTGTGACCTTAAACATGATACATGTATAATACTCCTTCAAAATGCTTATTATATCACATTTTTTATTTTTAAAAAAGTATATACCATCCAGAAGATAGGAAAGCCTACAAATAGTATTGTCTTGATTTAAGTTTTTTTAAAGTCAGCATAATTTCCTGTTTTAAAAATATAACTTGGGAAGGTAAAAAGACTTAACGAATGTAGTGTTCAATGAACTAATGAACCAGAGCCAGATTAGGTAGCTAAATTCTTTCAGTAGCTGAAAAGGCATTTTAGTAGGTAACACACCAGACAGTATTTAGTAAATCCTTAATAAAATAATAACTGTGATCTCATTCTTAATGAAAGGAAAATTATCATATTTTCTATGTAAAATTATATCCATTAAAAAAAACTATTAAATCGTCTTTAACATCTATAGTAGAAAATAATACAATATGCTTAACTAGTCACTTGTAACTGTATTTTTTTTTTTTTTTTTTTTTAGTGGTACACGGGCCTCTCACTGTTGTGGCCCCTCCCGCTGCGGAGCGCAGGCTCCGGATGCGCAGGCCCAGCGGCCACGGCTCACGGGCCCAGCCGCTCCGCGGCATGCGGAATCCTCCCGGACCGGGGCACGAACCCGCTTCCCCTGCATCAGCAGGTGGACCCTCAACCACTGCACCACCAAGGAAGCCCCTGTATTTTTATTTTTGAAATTTGTATCTTGCTGTCTCTTAAAAGGGTATGAAGAGGCCTACAAAATACAAAGCCTTTAAAGAAGACATTTAACATTTAAAAAAGCACAGAAGTACATGATTTCAGGCAACTCAGCAAAGCTTGGACAACAAATTTGATTCTAAATTTTCTTGCTGCTAAAACAAATGAAATCTTTGTTTTTCATGGTAGAAAACTCAAACTTATCTGCAAGAGGCTAGTTTTCTCTTAAACTAAAGAAAGGAGGGTCTTCATATTGACCGACATTTCCTCATAATTTAAAGAAAATGCAAAATACAGAGAGAGGCCATAATGGTAAATCTTAACCCAGTGAAGACACATCATCTCAGTGTAGGCTAGGAACTAAAGAACCAGACGATCAATAGCTAAGCTAGCCTGAGACTGGCTTATTATTTTATGCTATTTTGAATTTTATTTTATTTTTTTATACAGCAGGTTCTTATCAGTTATCTATTTTATGCACATCAGTGTATACATGTCAATCCCAATTTCCCAGTTCATCACACCACACCACCACCCCCTCCACTTTCCCACTTTGGTGTCCATATGTTAGTTCTCTACACCTGTGAGACTGGCTTATTATTATTCATTGAACTATAGGTGGGTATTAGATCTCATTTATTTCTTAGTTAAACATTTGGCAGTATATGATATGAAGAGAAGAGAATGAAACTAATAAATTTTAGGCATTATTTCCAGAATACTGCTAATTGCTGTATATATAGTCTTTCATCTTTGAGGTAATGAGAAAACTTTGCAAATTGTTTACTAATGTGAAAGCCATAAATTTTAGTAATTTAAGAAGAAATTTAGCCATCTTGTGGAAGTTATTACACCCTTCACAGAGAATATAATACCCAGTGTTAAACATAGAACAAAAAAGGCAAATCTGGAGGAGAGAATATCTTCAATTCAGAAGCAGCATTAGGTGCACTTGTACAGCACTGTCATTTGTGACACCATTGATCCCAAATTTAACACAAGGTATTAATCCTCAAGTGCCCTCAAATTTCAGGAAACCTACTAATCCCAACATCTGAAGTGTGTAGGAATAAAGTATGATGTACCTTTTGTGAGGGGAGATGTTCACCCCAAAGGTTTAACAAAAAGCAAAGGATTTTCCACATTTCAAATCACAAAAGAGATCAAAAACACTCCTTTTATTTTGACTTGTTAATAGCTTGTGTCAGTGTCTTTGTCACTTTTCATATGATTATTAGGCATTAAAAGAACCTCCTAAATGCCTGAACATTTTTATAGTTCTGCTATTGTCTGGTGAGGACGCTTCCTTGTTTCAGGAGTGTGTCAACTGATGAACAGGATAGGAAAAGCCTAGTTGTGACTACAGGAATAATTCTCAATCAGAGAAGAGTATGCTCTCTTACAAAATGGTGTCTGCTGTATTGTTCATGATCAGAAGGAACCTTGAGATTTTGGTTTTTTTGAAGATACAAGAAAGATTATCTGCTCCAACTTTATTAATGAGAAGACTGAAGCACAGAGAAGAGAATGGAGTGCCCACATCTCAGAGCTAGTCCAGCGCCCTTTCCTTGCTTTCTGCTCTCTCCCTGCTTTAGCTGGCTATATGTTTTAAAAGCCACTCTAAACAGCAGCCCAGATGTTTCATGTAAGGCTGTCAGTTATTCTGATTTAAAATGTAATTTATTCTACAACAATTTCTTTCAAAGCATTATATTTTACTTTTTTTTTTCCTTATGTAACACTTTGTTATTCTACAATTTTGTTGCCACGATTTCTTGGCACCTGCAAATTCTACAAGACAATTACTGTGAATTCTTAATAAACAACGTTTGTTAACAATTTATATCCTTGACACTGGACAGAAAGAGCTTTCAGTGTTTTGCTTTTGTGATCCTTTTTAAATCTAAAGGGGAAAACTTATACTCTAGAAATTAAAACACTTGTGTGTGCTGTATCTCTTGAATTTGGAGAATGATTTGAGTTCTGAGCTAAATAATATGACAAGTTGACCTTGGATATCTTTTTTTTAGCTTTCTGCAAAATCAGTTGTCCATGTTTTATATACCTCTACTAATAACAAACTCGTAATTCTGAATTTGCTTTTTTTAAAGCAACTTTTCCATATATTTCTGTGATTGGTTTAATGACTACAAAAGCCCAGGAAGCTAATGACTGGGGTGCATGTTTAGTATGTACTGTCTTGAGTATATTCTTTTGAAGCAATGATTTTTCTTTTAGAGGTGAACTTCCAGACCATATAAGACTTCTCATATGCTTAATACTCGATTTGATATATCACAGTAAAGAATTTGACCCTTGAACTGGGAATAAAACTTGTGTTTTGATTTCCTTGCTTGCCTCAATTTCCAAAGTCTCTAGAAGTCGCAAAGAATCCTAAATTCCTTCCCAGGCAAAGTTGGCATTTCCTATCTGGTCACTTCCAAACTAAAATAATCATAGTTACGATAAAAAATAAAAGCTTCCTCAGGCTATTACACCATTTTAAGTTTTCAAATAAATCTTCAAGTGAGGAACTTAAAAAAAAAAAAAAAGAACAAGATGGTCTTAGGTTGCCTGCAGTATCCAGGCTGCTGCCTCTGGTCACTGAAGTGGCCCTGAGATCTTCCACAGAGTGGGCTGTCAGAACACGTTGTCCTTTTGAGGTACACAGCCAAGCTTAGTAAGGGTGGGTGGGTAGACCTCATGAAAGGTGTATCCTGAGGAGAAAGCAAAGAAAGCCAAAAACTCTTGAGTCTTTCAGTCACACAGATCAAGGAGCAAAAGGAGAAGAAAAGAAAGGTAGCTACCACTGGTCTGTCTCCGCAAATAGTTACAGAGCAATTTTACTTTTTGTGTTATTTAGGATCAAGAAATAGCTTTTATCTAAAAGTGGTCTCACCCTCCAAGCTTTGTCATACTCTGTAACATCTGGTGCTAGCAGGCCACTTGAGCCGGTACCTTCTTTATTGAAACATTTTGAGTACCTGCTGATTGCTAGAAGGAATTTCCATCAAAAAATCTAGGTTTTGAACATGCTTTTCAAATCTTGTTCTATTCTTCCATTGATGACATTGTCTAGGATTTGTATTAAGCTTTGTATTAAGTGGTGTTTCAGAGAAGCATTCACAAATTTTGAACCCAAAAATAGTCATGTGAATCGTAGGGGAGTTTTCTCTACCTTTGAGTAACTATCAGTCTGTTACGTGTAACGCCTCAGGAGACAATTTAGCTCTGAAAATGTGCACAAGTAACTTGCTGCAACTGACTCAAATATGTGGCCTCTGCCTGTCACATTCAGCGTCTGAAGGTAACCTTACTTTCTCAGTCATTAGTTTTTAATATAAAAAAAGAAAGAATAACGCTTTAAATAAGTGGTAGGAGGCTTCCAAGATGGCTCCCAGCAATTCCTACCTCCCAGTATTCACAATCCTCTATCATCCCCTGACCTTGAATGTGAGCTGGACCTAGTGACCTGCTTCTAATGAACAGAATACGGCAAAAAGGACACGTCTCTCCTGAGACTAGGTGACAGAAAGACTCTGTCTTCTATCTGGCTCACTATTACTCTTGTGCTTTCCTGCTCTGATGGAAGCCAGTTGCCATGTTCTGAGATGCCCTATGGAGAGGCCTATGTGACAAGAAACCAGGGTTTCCAGGCAACAGCACAGAGGCCCCCAGTACAACCACCTGCAAAGAACTGAATCCTGCCAGCAACACGTGACTGGGTCTGGAAGAGGTTCCTCCCCCAACTGGAGCCATGAGATGACCACAGACAACACCTTGATTATAGTTTGTGAGGGACCTTGAGCCACACCCAGATTACTGACTCAGAAACCCAAGATAGTATATGTTGCATTAAGCTGCTAAACTTAGGGGTAATTTGTTATGCAGCCATAGATAATACGAAGCTAGAAAAGACAGTGGCATGTCCCTG